GAGAGAGAGAGAGAGAGAGAGAGAGAGAGAGAGAGAGAGAGAGAGAGAGAGAGAGAGAGAGTTCTTCTTCTTCCTCTTCTAAGTCCACCACCTCTTCTTCCCCTCTCGCTGCCTACTTCTCAGTATCTGTGGACTACGAGAGAGAGATACGACTTGAGACTTGATGACATTGGATACAGACTTGACATTTGGGATTCAGACATTTTGACGAGGGACTATTTGGGCCTGTGCCGAAGACTTGGTGTTGACGACATTCCCATCTCTCCCTCCTCTTCGTCTAACCCCCCTCATCTTCTTCTGTGTATGTGTGGGGCTGGCGCAGCCTTCCTGTGTGAAGCGCCAGGCCCCTTTCACACTCTGTGATGATGATGATGATGTATGTTCTGGACTGCATTGCCACATTGATTGATCGGATCATTGGTATCTAAATCTTCCGTTTGCGCCATCTTGTGCTTTGTATTGAAAGGTCGGTTGTTGTTCTGGTCTGCACGTTACGGTATGCAACAGTCTGTCCATTTGTTTTAGGGTGCCCACCAGTCGACATGGCAAGGTGTGACCCATACATCTTCACGAGTCCTTGCCAGTGCTCTCCGGTGAACCAGACATCTCAATCACTAACTATACCAAGCGGGTGGCCATTCTCCTTAAACCAATGATTGAAGAACTCTCTAATGACTAACTCTGACCTGGCCCCTGCTGGTAGCGGCAAAAATACTGCATATTTGCTAAATCTGTCAACAATGATCATACCATGACTACTCTTGTTTCTTCTAACTACTAAACTGAGCTCCACGGGAAGTGAGGCGACCTCACTTCCCATTCCGCCGGACACGGTTGCCTTGCTAGCGACCTCCTACACGTCTGGGGAGCATGCTAATGCCGCATGTCTTCGAGAAGACTTCGAAGACTATGCTGCCCAGCTGGTCCCTCCGTTGGACCTACCCCTCCACGTGCAAGACGCTCACGTATGCGCGGTTTCATCACCGTCGGCAAGTGAACCGACTCCATCGCCGACACTTTTATCATCTGGGGATTCGTCAGTGTGGTCAAGACTTGAGGACCTCGACACGTTGACAACGGAAGACTTCAAATGGTTGCCTCTTTCCCCGTCCAGTTCATTGTCGAAACCGCATTGCAACGCCCTAATGGCAGAGCTACGCGAGTATCTGCACGCTGCAGTACCAACTCCGTTAACGGACGACGGAGTAGCAATTTTTGACCTTCACAAGTTTTATTGCGAAGATCGACCGCAAGCATGCCACGCAACGGTACGCCAACATCGATGCGTCGTTACTCTACATCCGCATTCAGATTGGAAAGGCGACCTGCAGCGCCTTGATCGATTGTCGAGCTACTCGCAACTACATCAGCCAAGACTTCATGGCACACGCCGGCCTCGGCCTGCGTGCTCGAAGGAAGTCGCAGCCCACGTAAGTCACGTTGGTCGACGGTCAAACGCACAAGTCTATTGACCGGTGCATTGACGCGGCGCCCGTGTACTTCGCCCCGCACGCACGTGAGGATGTGTCCTTCGACATCTTGGACACAAAGTTTGACATGATCTTGGGCATGTCGTGGCTGCGAAGCGAGGAACGCCCAGTGAACTTCTATCGCCGCACTGTTCACATTCATGATCGGAGCGGGATACTCGTCCCATACACGGTTCCTCCACCTCACCCTTCGATTGGTTGTCATGTGGTCTTCGCGACAACCATTCCCAACTCCATCGCATGACACGACGTTGAGGAAATGGCCATTTGCTTCTTGCACGCCCTCCCTCCTCCCGACGAGCCAGCGACTGAAGTGCCACCGGACCCACGCATCGTAACGCTTCGTGACTCCTTCGACGATGTCTTTGAAGCTCCCGCCGGAATCGTACCTGATCGGCCAATTCGTCATGAAATCATTCTCGAAGACGGGGCCGTACGCAACTCGACGACCTCATTGCCTCCGACCTTTTCGGAGGCCGAAACGAAACGACGGCCGCCGATCAGATTTATCAATGGCGGCCGTCGTCAGGACCGGCCTCCGAAACTTTAGGAGTTTGGGAAAACGTCCACTTTTCCCTATTTTCCCATGCGCCAAAGGTACTAGTGCTCCTATGGTGCACCGGTTCTCTTTGTCCAGAAGAAGAACAAGGAATTGTGGCTATACATTGACTACCGCAAACTTAATGGGCAAACCGTTAAGAATGCTGGCCCGCTCCCGCAAATCGACGACCTTCTCGACCTTTTGGGCGGCGCCACATACTTCTCCAAGTTGGACCTCAAGTCGGGATTGAGATCCATCCAAGGAATCAGTACAAGACCGCGTTCAAAACACGATACAGGCACTTTGAGTGGGTCGTAATGTCATTCGGCCTCACGAATGCCCTGACCACCTTCCAAGCGGCCATGACGACGGAATTTCGTGACATGTTGGACCGGCTCGTGCTCATCTACCTCGACGACATCTTGGTGTATAGTCGGACTTTGGATGAGCACCTCACACAAGTACGCATCGTTCTGGAGAGGTTACGTACGAACAAGTACAAGTCCAATCAAACCAAGTGCAAATTCGCGCAACAAGAGCTCGAGTACTTGGGCCACTTTGTGACGCCACAAGGCATCCGTCCGCTCGCGGACAAGATCAAGGTCATTCGAGAGTGGCCGAACCGACCAACACTGCGGTTCTTTCACGGGATGGGCCGGGTAGTACCAACGCTTCATTGGCGAATATGCGCAGATCGCCGCACCTTTGTTGAAATTGCAGTCGCCAAAAGTGCCCTTCCACTTCACCGACGAAGTCCGGAGTTCGTTCCAAAAATTGAAGACGACATTGCTTCTTGCTCCCGTCTTGAGTATCTACGACCCCACCTTGCCAACAAGAGTGACCATGGACACTTTCGGCTACGGCATTGGTGCAGTTTTGGAACAACACGACGGACAAGATTGATATCCGGTGGAGTACTTCAGCAAAAAGGTGTCACCCATCAACTCGATTGATGACGCACAGAAGGAGTTGCTCGCATTCGTCATGGCACTTAAGCGTTAGCAACACTTCCTCCTCGGGCGTCGTAGGTTCACTTGGGCAACAAATAACAACCCATTGACCTACTACAAGACGCAAGGCACGGTGAGTAGCACGATTGATCGGTGGATGTATTTCATCAACCAATTCGACTTCACACCGAACCACATTTCGGGTCTCTCAAACTGAGCCGCGGATGCTCTCTCGCGAAGATCAGATCTTTGCACAGCAATCCATCACGCTTTCGACTTTGACAACAACCTTCATCAACATTTTGTATGTGCATACAAGTCGGATCCAGAAAATGCGCCTCTTTACGAGCAACTTTCTTCAGATCACCTGCCGGCCAGCCACTATCGCATCACCAACGGCTCCATTCATGAGGCAAGGACTTACTAGGTGTTCCACGAGACCGTCGATTACAGATTCGCCTTCTCGGCGAGTGCCACGACTCGCGACTCGCCGACCACTTCGGAGTCAACCGTATGATCGCAAGACTTCGACAATGGTTCCTGTGGCCCGACCTCGTTACCAATGTCGCTCGGTATTGTGAATCTTGCAAAGTTTGCCGACGAAGCGAACCCCACAACCGCAACCCCTATGGCGAGTTGCATCCGTTGCCCATCCCTCAAGAACCCAACCTCTCCATTGCTATGGACGTCATCGGCCCGTTCCCCCGCGATTGCTTCGAGCACGACGACATTCTCACGATCGTTGACCGTCTGATTAAGTATGCGCGATTTCGTCCTTACAAGTATCACGCCACAGCCCCCGAGCTCGCACGACTCTTGTACACCGGCTGGATATGCAGCCACGACATTCTAGAGGACATCGTCAACGACCATGGCACTCGTTTCATGTCGACATTTTGGACTTCTCTCATGAAGGAGTCCAACACCGAATATGAAACCGAGTTCGGGTCGGCATCCAGAAACGGACGGGCAAACGGAGCGGGCATATCAAACCGCTCAAATGATGCTCGATACGCTCATCCATCCGGACCAAAAGGATTGGGCCGACCGCCTCCCCGACATTGAGTTCGCCTACAACACTTCGTCGCATCCGACGATCGGCGTGACTCCATTCGAGTTGCACCACGGTGGCCGGAAAGGCCATATCTTTGCTGATCTTTTATTCCCACAGGCTGCCGACATTTACGCCCCTTGCTCTCCCGCCTCCGTTCGAAAATATAAGAACTGTTGGCTAAAGCCTGCACAAATATGTAGAAGGCTCAAGTCCGCATGCAGCAGCAAGCCAATAGGTGTCGCGTGCCATGTCCTATCAGCGCTGGCGGCCTTGTTTGGGTCTCCACAAAAGAGTTTGCACTCGAACAAGACGTTTCGCGCAAGCTACTCCCCAAGTGGTTTGGACCTTGGACAGTCACATCAGCCGTGAGCGATGACCCCGATGGCCCATCAATTATCATTGACATCCCGCCGCATCTGCTGGTCCACCCGGTTTTCCACCCTCCAAGCTGGCTACGTACACACCAGCCAAGAGCAACGACTTCCCAGCCCAACGATCGCAGGACCCTCCTTCCATGGGTGGTCATCAAGAGGTCGATCGCGTCATCTCGCACCTCAAGTACGACAACAAGCCGATGCAATACAAAGTCACATTTAAACAACCACTCCCCCTGACAGCCTAAAGTCGGCTTTCCGGGAAGTTAGGGCCAAAAATGAAGGGGGGTCGGTGACCACTTGCCAGAGAGGGGAAAAAACGAAGACAAAAGAAAAAGAAAAAGTCCGTTGGTGGTTGGTTTTCTTTTTCTTTTTTTTTCAGTACAAAAGAAAAACGAAACGGGAGGGCTACAACAATCAGTAAACCACGGCAATACAAAAATGACAAAAGAAAAACGAAAAAAAAGCAACAAAAGCAACGACTCTCTGGTCCTAAACGCAGCTGGATACAGAATCTTGAGTACACGTGAGAGTCAGCTGTCCGTGGAAAGTGCGTGTCAAATGTCCGTGGAAAGCACCCTGCCTCTAGTTGGCAGGACACTACAGCTCGATTCGAAGGAAAAAACAAAAAACCACAAAAAACAAAAAAAAAGGAACTGGCTATGATTTTGGCCAGGTGCATTCCTAGAAGCACTACTGTGAGCACGCCACCTTCGTGGCTTTCCCCGACGTCCTTCCCTTTCAACCCTGCTTTGGTTTTCATAAAAGAAAAGCAAAACACAAAAAAATAAAAAACGAAACTAGCAATGATTGTGGGCAGATACATTCCCAGAAGCATTGGTGTGAGCACACCACCTTCATGGCTTTCCCCTAGGTCCTGTCCTGTGGCATTTTTTTTGCAACAATTAAACACACCCCACACTGTACTACCGGTAGGCCAACAGTCGATTGCAAAAATTGGCCTACCGGTCCCCCCGACTTTAGAACGTCGGGGGTAGCGGTGGTTTAAGGGGTGCGACTGCGACGACACATGGTGGATTTCGCGAGCAGACTTGCATCCGCACCGCTGATCTAGGCCCACTACGAGAAGCAATGACTAGCGAAGGAAGCTTCACAACCTGCCCCTCCCACCCGACTTCGGTCCCTCCCTCCGACAGACAGCTTCACCCTCGCCGGTAAGCTCGGTCTTTCAAGGAGGGGGGGATGTGGCATTCTGTGTTCCACACGGGCCCTTTGCAGGGCCCGGTCCGTAGGAGTAGGGCTTAGCAGGTTAGACTAGGCCAGATTAGTACTAGGCCCTGACGCGTCGGTTCGTTAGCGTCAGGCCCCCGGTTAGAGGCCGAGTTAGGCCAGCAGCAGGGTAACGGGCTCTGGGCGCCGTTTCAGGCCCTGGGCGCCATCCCCAGAGGGCACAGACCCTGGGCGCCAGTTTAGGCGCCAGACCGATGGGCGTTTGGGCGCCAGACACCTGCGCGATTAGGCATTGGTGAGCCTACTGCAGCGGAGGTTGGAGGGAGACAGGCTATGGCGAAGGCTAGGGAGACTCACCTAACGACTTACCTGTGACAGCATCGCTCCAACTTCGTCTTCAGTTGGTCCATACCTGCATCAAGGCGACACCTTTTCGCAGCTTAGTGCCTGGTGTATTGAGAGAGAGAGAGAGAGAGAGAGAGAGAGAGAGAGAGAGAGAGAGAGAGAGAGAGAGAGAGAGAGAGAGAAAGATCTTCTTTTTCTTCTTCCTCCTCCAGTCCATCGCTCTTCCCCTCCCCCTGCAGCACTCTGGCCC